TTTTTAAAGGGTTTAACGGTTTACGGTTACGTACGTACGTACTACTTACTTAACTACGTACGTTCTACGTACGTCGTACGTACTAATTACTTGTTGTGTGTTGTAAGACGTAGTCTCTCTCTCTCTCTCTCTCTCTCTCTCTCACACACACACACACACACACACACACACACACACACACACACACACCCTTTGATAAATTTTCACGATTTGGTTGCTTAATTCATCGTAATTTTAGATTACTCTGTTCTTTTTCAGTTATCATATTAGTTCCAACCCGAGAGCTGGCACTTCAAACTTCACAAGTCTGCAAGGAGCTTGGGAAACATCTAAATATTCAAGTCATGGTAACAACTGGAGGAACTAGCTTGAAGGATGACATCATGCGTTTGTATCAACCGGTTCATCTTCTTGTGGGAACACCCGGCAGAGTACTTGACCTTACAAAGAAGGGTGTTTGTGTCTTGAAAGAATGCACAATGCTTGTAATGGATGAGGTATAAAACATGTGGTTTCTGAGATAGCTATTGAGAAAGTTCACTATTCCAATTCAGGCTCTATACCATGATGTCTCTTGGGAAGTATAGTATAATCCTATGGAATATGGATGAATATTTGGCTATTGCTGTCCTAGAATAATGGTTCCGGCCCAAAGTGGGACCCACCATTTTGGGGTAATGCTTGTTCTGGTGGATCCACTCTCTTTTGGCCACTTTCCATCATTTCAATGGACAGTGATGGCACAATGAACTAAGGTTTTTGGTAGTCCATTGGGCTATACTGTACTTCTCCATAATGACTTCCATTCTTCCTTTAAAATGAGTTCAGACTTTAGCTATGCTTTTAGTAATGTTCCATTTTATTGCTTTCTAGTTGCTTATCATTTTCTGCTTATGCATGCTATGAATTATGGTGTGTGATGCTTAATACTGGGCAAATTTGGTATGTGATGCTTAATAGTGGACAAATTTGGTTGGTAGTTGGTGTTATTGTCTTGGTCTAGTGGCTGAGCTTATCTTGCATATCTTCAGCGCTTCTCATGGGGGCGAATTCTCATAGTTTTTCCATCTTTTTCATGATTATTCATGTTATTTTATTACAGGCTGACAAGCTCTTGTCCCCTGAGTTTCAACCTTCAGTGGAACAGCTGATTGGTTTCCTACCTCCAAATCGACAAATATTATTATTTTCTGCGACTTTCCCAGTCACTGTCAAGGCATTTAAAGAACGGTTTCTCCGAAGGCCTTACATAATCAATCTCATGGATGAGCTGACGCTTAAGGGAATAACACAGTACTATGCTTTTGTAGAGGAACGACAGAAAGTCCATTGCCTCAATACACTTTTCTCCAAGGTTTTTCTCTTGAATGATTTAAATAATTGATTGTTTGTTGATATAAGGGAAAGCATACTATACTCAGATGAACTCTGGTTTACTGTTTGCTACTTTGCTGGTAAACTTTTGGTATCATCACTGTCCATGAAATGCATGGTGATGGAAAATGGGACACCAGAACTGTGAACAACACTGTGTCGGTCTTCCTCTCTCTACATAATACCATCCATTGTTCCATTGACAGTGATGATCCATTTGCAATGCGGTTTTCCAAAGTCCATTGGATTATTTTATACCCTTTCTTGATAAATGATTGTAATGTAATTTGCCTTGTTTTAACTACTATGTCCATTATTAAGCTTATGATCTTCTGCTACAGCTTCAAATAAACCAGTCCATCATTTTCTGCAACTCAGTTAACCGTGTAGAATTGCTGGCTAAGAAAATTACAGAGCTGGGTTACTCATGCTTCTATATTCATGCCAAGATGCTCCAATCTCATCGTAATCGTGTCTTCCATGACTTTAGAAATGGGGCCTGCAGGAACCTTGTATGTTCTGGTATGCTCACGCAACTTGAATACTTCTCCTAATTTTGATTTCAGGGTTATTAAAAAACCGCTGCACTCTCTCTCTCTATGTGCGTGTTAAACATCCTTGCATTAGAGCACATGCATTTTGGGCTGGAGATATACAACCCATTACAAGCATGTTTTGGTTAAATATTGTGAACAGATCTGTTTACCCGGGGTATCGACATCCAGGCAGTTAATGTGGTTATCAACTTCGATTTTCCAAAGAATTCTGAAACTTACCTCCACAGAGTAAGTTCGCACTGTTTTCTCCATTTCTTGTCCGTGGTCTTTATCCTTTTTCTTATTTTATTTGGTCAATCTGCTTTTATTCTTGTCAAAGGGAAAAAAAATCACTTCTTGTTTAGATTCTTTGATCCAACAGTTGTACTGTTATCCCAGGTTGGGCGCTCTGGGCGTTTTGGTCATCTTGGATTGGCTGTAAATTTAATCACCTATGAGGATCGTTTTAATCTGTGAGTGACGGAGTAATTATTATTAATTACCTCACAACTGTGCACTTAAGTCGGCCCACTCCACTGTGTTTGTTTTATGGCACATTATACTAATATTTATCCAATCAACTATGGAGAACCATAGTCCATAGGGGGTGCCATGACCGTCTGCTAGAATGATGGATGCTGTTGATGGTGCAACCCACCATTAGGGTCCTGTCCTGTTCTGATGAGTTCAACTATTTCCATCACCACCCATCATTTCATCGAGCAGTCAAGACCCCACTACACACCAGTTTTGCCATAAATGAGCTATGGTTTTACCCTATTTCATTGGGCTCATAGTGTTGTTGATTTCATGATAGTCCTTGTTGACGTGCTTTTATTAACAGGTATAGGATTGAGCAAGAACTTGGCACTGAAATCAAGCAGATCCCTCCCCAAATTGATCAAACTATTTACTGCCGGTGATACCTGAGAAGTGTGAGAAACATCATTATCGACTATTTAGCCAGAGCCCGTGGTTGCAAATATCTCTGTGAGTTCTGGTTCTGCCTCCTTTCTTACTTTCTTTTAAAATCTTGTTACATGTGCTTTAATGACCTGACATTATAACCTATCCCACACACGTACACATTCACATGCATAGAGATAGAGAGAGAGAGAGAGAGATTCATCGCAAGTCACATGTCCATGCCGATAATAACAATATGCATTCCCCAATGGCACCTTTTCAGGAGCCAATAATTCTATCCCCCACCTCTCTCTCTCACTCTCTCTCTTTATTTTCTCTAAACAAAAATTCTAGGCATTTGATGATTTCTCTTATATTTGGTCTTGTTTCAGAAGGTGATTAGTAACTGACCAGATCTTCTTCTTCTTTACAATTACTTGCGCACACCAATCTGATGAAGCTCAAAGAATGCTTCTGTAAGAGTTTGTTCATCTTTATATACCTATATATTTACGTCAGCAATCTATGCAGTGCTTCTTTTAACCAGAAATGGGAAAAGGAAAACCTATAGGCCAGCCTCCCCTCTTTTTAGTTGTAGGTTTGCCGCCAAAAGTATCATACTGCTTTCAGAATTGGCTTCGTTGTTTTTCATAGTTTGATACTGTGTGCTGAAAATAATGCTGGTGATAATTGACCTTTAATGTTGATGATAATCGTATACCATCTAATATTTGATGCTTATAATATTTATAGGGATTTTATCAAATTATCTATGAGAGATGAACAATTTAACACGTTACCTTCCAAAATTCCCATAAAAAAAGTGCACGATCTTCACATAGAATAATTAATATGGGTAGAAATAGTTCATCTCTTAGGGGTACTTTGATGAATGTCCCATATTTATGAGTGGAGCCATTTTGTCTACTCCAAGGTGGGGTGCTAGTGTCTGATAAAGAGCGTATGACCATTGGATTAAAACATCATCATCGTGATTCATGATCAATTTGGCAAATTTTTTCGTTGGCTGCCTACCGAACACAATTAAGTCCTCTTACCAGGGCATAGAACGGGTTAAGAGAAAGTTTAAGGTCCTCACCGCCATGTGCAACCATTGGATTGCCTTTGGATAATCCGAGCCATATGTCCCATTTATCAATAATTTACGGTTGTAATCATAACTGGAAAATTCCCGTATCCCGCTTTCTGGCCATGCAACCATAAACCCGAATCTCTGCTCTCTATTGCTTCTCTCTACCGCTTGGAAGCCTCATGTTTCTCCCCTTTACATACGAAAAGATAAAAGAGTCTCGTGGGGAAAGCTCAGAATAAGTTTCAGTAATGCAACTCTCCACATCCTCTCTTCGAAGTTCAACCCAGGGTCCCGACTTTGGCTTTACCGGAACTCGCCTACAAAAACCCACATTTTATCTCTAGGTTTGAAACCGTCCGAAACTTGCCTGCAAAATCCTGCAATTTATCCCTAGGTTTGAACTGTTGCCTCTAAAAAACTACTTTTTGTCGCGAAAAGTCTATCTTGTCCCAAAAACCACTTCACTGGTCCAAACACCATACCTAATTAGGGTTCAAAACAATTGGGTTTGATCATTGCCGTAAATTCTCTAGGCTTGGTCAGTGTGTTGGCTGGCTATATGGAAATGTCATCCAATGGAGCTCCATTGGATGGACGCATTGAGGTCCACCTTTATGGGTTGGAGGCTTGTATATGAATGAGGCCATTTACCTTTGGTGTTAGGTCACGATGAAAACCTTACAGCTTGGGTGTGTCGAAAAGTTTTTAAATAGTTCTTTTGAATGTTTAGCCTGATCGATGAATAAATTCAGCTGCTCAATTTCACATCATGGTCAAGATTAATTGTGATTTTCATGTACCAAAATATAAAGGGTGTGGCTTGGATGGTGCCAGGCTTTAAACATTCAAATTAGAGCTAACCTGCAAATAGTGTCGAGAAATGTGGTTTCAATACTGAAAATCTTTGTGATAGCCTTAAAATATATTTTCATCTTTACTTATAAAGTTTAAAGCTTCAAAAATAGTGTAGATTGATAGATATATGAAAACTTGAAAATCTTGAAAATTGACGGTCAAAAAATGCGTTACAAAATACACTATTTTCAAAATTAGAAATCGTTTTTTTTTTCATGTCTATGCATCTTGGTGTCGAGATGATCAATTTGATGACATTTGGGCATCAAATAATTTTCAGTAAAAATTTTGAGGCTTCAGCTCTATATAATTTTTTTCCAAATGTAAATGGTTTTATTGTATATTTTTTTCAAAAGAAAAAGAAATTTGTTGCACATCGCCCAAAGGAACTATTTTTAACGTTTTTCTCAGTTTCATTTGATTAATTTGAACCAATTTTATAGATGGTTTGATGGGCTATTTGATTTTTGATCAAAGAATATTCTCTTGGACATTAGAAAAAAAAAGGTGGGGGTAATTTGTCTAATAACTCAAATCTAAGTTGTAATTTGATAAACTTATACAAAAATAAATATAGATAATATTACTAAGAAATTTTCCTTTTTTTAAACATTAATTTAGAATCTAATGGCAATAAGACTCGAGACATCACAGATACTAATCACCTTTGTCTGCCTTATGAAAGAAAAACAGAAATATAAGGCCAACAAGTTTGGATCTTGAAAAAAAATTATATACAATCACACGGACCCAAAAATATACTTTTCCGGCCTTTTTCAGAGAAAATCCGATGCGATTCATCCCTGATTCATTGGAATATACTCGAGGAAAACAAGATTCGTGCCTCACAATATCGCAGAAACCAGTCCCATTATCCACATCATAACAGGAGATGGCATTTTCAAGAAAAAGAAGTCAAATTAAATGGCACATTTGGTTCGTGTGAAAATGTTTTCTAGAAAACTATTTTCATATGAAAAAATTCTTTTGTACGGTTAAATGTAGGAATATTTTCATACCAATTAGTCTTAGTGCATCTTTTTACACAAAATGATAACTAATTGATGAAAAATATTCCTCCACTTGAGAGAATTTTTTCATGGAAATTTTTTCTAGAAAACACTTTCATGTGAACCAAAATGCCCAAGATTCATTTTTCTCATGAATCATTAACCAAATGGACCGTAACTAAAACTCCTAAGTTTTTAGATCATACAATAAAACGAGTTGCAAATCTATCAAACCAAATGATGTTTGCAAAACTAGGCCGGCAAGAAAATCAATACCCCACTTTATACAATTGCACAGACCAAAAAAAAGAAAAATATTAAGTATTGTCAACAAAGAGATCATTTATGTTTTGTATTAGTAAGAGTGTCATTGAATAGACACAAAGTTTTTAAAAAATATCGTGGACTTTGCGACTTACCTCAAGCTATATTTTGACATCTAATGAGTATGAATGATTATGACTTCTATGCATAAAAGAAAAATGATATCTTCGTAGACAATACCAAAAGCATTATGAAGTTGGAAAACTTTTTAATTGATCATCTCAACCTCGAAAGCGCAGAAATAAAGAAAAAATGAATTTCAAATCCTAAAAATAATGCATTTTGTAAAAAGTTATACAGAGACCATTTATTGTACAAATTTTCAAATGTTTATAAGGATATGAGTTGAAGTAGTGGGAAAAATGTATAGGGACTTAAGGTTTAACTGAGAGTATGCCCTTCAATAGAGCATAATGACAAACCAGGATTTGTGTAGTCAGACCCAATTAGTTGGAAAAATGTTTTGATGATAATTTACTCCTACGGCCTTAAAAGTATCATTAAAGTCCACACGTAAATCATTGTTAAGACTACAACAAGAATTATTTTCTTATGCATTATCAGTTTTCTTCATTCTTCAAGAGTTACACGCATTTTGAATATACACATTCAATTGGGATAATTGACAAAACCACACATCAAACCAGATGATCATTGGTGTCGTTACTAATGATGATCATCGTTGTCGTCAAACTTCCAAATTAATTAGGGTTGACTAAACGAATTCCTGTCTGTCATTTTACTTTATTAAAAGTCATACCTTTAATAAGACCATAAATCTCCATATCTTTTCTCACTACTTCCAACTATGCCTTTTTGAACCTATCTCTAGCCTTTTTGGAGTACTTTACCAATGTTTATGATGATAAAAAAATTAGAACAACCAATTACCGAAATTAGAGGGGAGAGTGGGACTAGGTTTTGGTGGGAGAAAATATTACAAAATATTTTATGTGAAAATATAAAAAAAATATATTGGAGAAAATAGAATACCAAAATACCCCAAAAACCCTAACATCCTCAAATGACTAATCTAACTGTAACTAAATGCTATCGTCCTCAAAACTAATTGAAGTGTGGTTTAAACCAATTGGATTTTCAATGGCTAAATACAACATGATGTTTAGATGCTCCAACCCATGATCTTGTAAGAACTTCAAAATGCACGGAAAAAAGCAGATATTCATAGAATATAGAGTTAAATAAGATGAAAATATAAAACCTATCAATTCTAGTCCAAAACTTACAATACCTATACTACAAATCAAAAAGAGAAAAAAAAAAAAAAACGTAAAGCAATAAGAAACTCCTTACCCAAGAACAAGTCACAAAAAAGAAACTAAAGCCAAGCCAAAAACTCTCATTTTATAAGAGCTTGGCAAGTTCTTCAAAACCCACACTAAGACTAAACCAAAAAAGTCACTAAGTTCTTGCAATTATACACTGACCGACTTCAAACCCAAATGATCATAGAATTTAGTTCTTCAGTTCGCATTTGCCTCTAATTTGAATTGCTGAACAAGATGATCACTACAACAAAATTCACAGTTCTCTTCCAAAAGCAAGCAAATTTATGGAGAAAAATAAATCAAATAACTTGGTGAATAAAAGTATGAAATAACTTCAACATCTAGGTTGTGTTCCATTCAAGTCAAAAGCTTCAATGGGATTTTCCATCCATTGACATCTCTGCATTTGCAACCATTTCTTGTGTCTCCGTATAACTATATTTTGCAACTTTCTCAAGTTCAACACTCAAATTTCCCCCTTTTCCATTTTTTCAAGAATATGTATGGGCTATGTCTAAAGGTGGTTGTGTATCATTTACAGCTTCATCCAGAGTAGAAGAAGCATGTTATCCATAAAGAACAACCAATAAAAACTAAAAAATCATAACTTAGAAAAAGTATGAACAAAAGACTCCACAATTTTATCCAACGATGTGAAATAACTCTGAAATTGTAGTGAATAAGGAATAACAACTCATTCAATGCAGTAAACCAAAGTAACATTAATTTGAGAATAAAAATGCATGACTATGAGGGAGGCATAAGAAAAGAGAGAGAGAGAGAGAGAGCACATTAAAAGTTCAACCAAAATAGGAATATCCAAAATCCATAAAAGAATGACAAATATTCAACTTAAATGCAACTCCATGAACTAAACGAAATGAATAAATAACAATTAGGTAACACATATAATGAATCACCATTACGAAAGCAAGAATCACAATCACAAACACAAGTCGACGACAAAATGCTTATTGAGTTATCAAGTGGAAAAGTCTTAAGACAGAGAATAGCAAGAAAATCGCATATAGATTAATATGGTAGCTCTGAAGAATGAGAAGAAAGAGATCAACCACACTCATACAAAAGAGATTAATCTTTCGGTATCACTTAGCCAACAAAAGACATACCATATATAATAAAGGAGTATAATCTTTTTTCCTCACCTAAACAACGCTATAATCTTTCTATTTTCTAAATAATGGGGGCATTCTTTATCTTAAAAGATCTACATGGGCGGCTTTCTCAATCTAGCCCCCTCTCCAAGAAAATTATACCAATGATTGTGATTCTATGAAGATGCTGGAAATAAGTAAGAAAATTTATGTACGGACCGGGTTATTTTACAGTTGATAAAGGTATGACCCAAAAATAGCCCGTTATTATCAAGAAGGACGTCTCCATGATTTTTTAAATTTTTTTTGTCAAGTTTGCTCCTGTTCAATGTTTCAAACAGTAGTCTTTTGCTACTGTATGTGCCGTCTCCTCATATTAAAGATGCTATTGCTACTGTTCTCATGGATTTATTTATGCAATGGAATATTGAAAACAAGTTATTTAGTGTAATTTTGAACAATGCATCATACAATGACATAACTGCATCATCTCTAGTTACTCAATCGTCTTGAAAAACCGCACTTGGTCAGATGTTCCATGTGCGTTGTTGTGCCTATATTTTAAATCCTATTGTGGAAGATGGAATAGGGGTTGATACGATCCGATATATTATCAAGTTCACTAAAGGATCCTAAGGAACACAAGAAATATTTAATAAGGGAATCAAGTTCCTTCGAATTGAAAGTAAAAAAAACAATGTCTTGATGTTCCAACTTGATGGAACTGGAGCTAAAAGAGGCATTTATTGCTTTGATCAAGGGGAATCAATGTTTAATTTAGTTTCCATCTGAGGTTGATTGGGAGAGAGCAAGACATACTTGTAATTGTTTGAAAAAAATTATGATGCTACAAAGTATGTCTCCTGAAAAATTTTATGATCATAAAAATTTTATGATCCTGAATTTTTTTTTCAAGATCCTAGTATCCAACTTCTAATATCTATTTCCCCGAAGTATGCGGTATTAATTTGTGTTTGAGTCTTATTGAGTATATTAGTTCTATGGCCACCAAAATGAAAACGAAGTTTGACAAATATTGGAGGATATGCAGTTTAACATTGACGATTGCATGTGTTGTTGATCCTCGATATATACTTGCATTGGTTGATCTAATGAGATCCTCCCACACCTATGTGTGTAGGACCCCAAATGATCATCATTAAATTTGACACATATCTTTAAAAGAATCAAGTCCCACACCCATATGATAACTCAAAAAAAATTTGCTTTTCATATTCATGATCTCAATGTGAAAAATTATATATTTAGTAATAATTAAGATCAAACTATATTTAAAAAATATATTTATTGCCACGTCCACATTTCTATGCTATGCAACCGGACTACATAAAAACCGTGTCCTTTATCATTTTCATAGATCTGATTGATTTGAATTAGTCTAAAATTTTACAATTAAAGATGAAAATAAACTTTTGTAAAAAATTTCAGTACTAAAATTATATCTTGTCACAAGATTGGAGGTGCTCGTTCTTTTTCCTTTGGGCACTTTAGGTAAACCTCACCTGATCAGGAGGGGTTTACTTAAAATATAATTAAAAATATTAATAGTTTATGAATTAAATACATTTTCATGTAATTAGCGTGATAGATTGGATTTGACCTTTTGACCCCTTTAATGGCGATATTTCCTATTTTATTCGTAGATTTTTTAATCCATTATGGAATGTTTTCTGTCATCATCACATTTTCTCTCTCTAAAACCCCATCTGCAACCAGGCTTGTTCTCTCTAGACCACGCTTCTCTCTCTGCTAATTTCTTCATGGACCACAGTCTATCTCTCCACTAATTTATTGGCCTTCTCGAGGAACTAAAGTTGCAGGTCTCTTACTTTCTCTCTCTTGATTCATCTTTCTTCAACTTCTCTCTAAACCCCATTTCTTCTTTGCAGGTTTAGCTTTCTTCATCTTCTCTCTTACTAAAACACCCATACAATTGCAGCGTCTCCCCCCTCTCTCTCTCTCTAAATCCGTTCCTTATTCCTCTCTCTAATCGCCCCTTGATTCGACCCAGTTGCAGGTCTCTCCATCCCTTTCTCTCTCTAAGACCCACATTTATTGTGCGCAGTTTTGCATCTCTCTCTAGAAAGCACTCTCCTTTCGGCTCAAGTTGCATCTCTCTCTAAACCCCAAGCTGCAGAACCAGTTCCTCTCTCTCTAAAACCTAAGTTGCAGAACCAGAGCAGCCATGGCGGCCACCCCCGGGGACTCCTTCGACTCATCTCTGTACCCTCGCGCCCTCTTCTCTCTCTACCTAATCTGCCCCCTCACCGTCCTCCCTCTGCAACTCCTCCAAGCTCCGTACGGCAAGCACAGCCGCAATGGATGGGGCCCCTCCCTCTCCCCTCCTCTGGTCTGGTTCTTAATGGAAAGCCCCACCCTCTGGTTAACCCTAATCCTCTTACCCCAAGGGCGCCATTTCCACAACCCACAAACCCTAGCGCTACTTTCTCCTTTCCTCTTCCACTACCTCCACCGCACCTGCATCTTTCCTCTCCGCCTCCTCCACCGCCAAAAAACCGTAATTTCAGGCCAAAAATCACCTGGTTTTCCCTTCATCATAGCACTAATGGCCTTTGTGTTTAATCTCTTCAACACTTATTTACAGGCCAGGTGGGTCTCTCACTATAGTGATTATGGGCCTAATTGGTGCATAGGGCTCAGGTTTAATGGTGGCTTACTGGTTTTTATCACAGGGTTAGTGATTAATATATGGGCAGATTCCAAGTTAATTGCTTTGAAAGGGGAAGGTGGGGGTTATAAGATCCCAAGAGGTGGATTATTTGAGGTGATTAGTTGCCCTAATTACTTTGGAGAAGCTTTGGAGTGGCTCGGTTGGGCTATATTGACATGGTCATGGGCTGGATTAGGGTTTTTTCTATATACAATGGCCAATTTGGGGCCTAGGGCTAGGGCACACCATGATTGGTATTTGAAGAAGTTTGCTGATGATTATCCAAAGAGCAGGAAGGCCATGATTCCTTTTGTTTACTAGGGTTGTTGTTGTTCTTCTTCTTTTTTTTTTTTATTTTTTTTTTTTTTTTTTTTATTTTTTTTTTTTATTTTAAAAAAAAGTAAAAAAAGAATAGGTGTACTAGGGGATAAAAGTCGGCCTTAGTGACTCCAAAGTGTCTAATAGAAAGGCCGTCGATCAACATATAAAAGTTATTACCGGCGATCGAGTTCACATCGATGAGAAGTAGGACCTCGATGTCGGAGAGCCGAAAGGCCGTCGTTCAATAGATAAAAGTTATTACGAGGATAACTGGCTGATGGAGTTCACATCAACGAGAAGTAGCACCTCGATGTCGGTTCTTCGCCACCTGGGTGCAGTATGTTCTCGGGGTTGGGCTATTCATCCATTAAAACAGTTGGTGAGCTGGGTTAGAACATCGTGAGGCAGTTGGGTCCATATCCGGTTTGGGTGTAAGAGCACTATCCAAAGTTGAGAACATTTGTTGGATGAAAGGTAGTTTTGAAATGGTAATGGTGGTTCTATTGGTGTAAACCATGGACTTAGTTTGTCATGGGAATGATTAATTCCTTTTGTTAGGTAAAAATTTGTTTTGGAGAAAGTTGTTTCTTAGTGCCTTTATAGCTTTTATTTTAGGGTGCAGTGATCATACGGATGCATCCGTAGCTGTAGAGGTAAGGTGAACTTTCAAATTTTATCATGGTATATAATTTTTATGTAAAATGTTTTGAGGATTATCTCAAAATCTATTTTTATATCTAATTATAAAATTTAAAATTTAAAAAATGGTCAAAATTAAATAGACCTATAAACATATAAAAATCTTGAAAATGGACGGTGTAGATAATATATTGTAAAATGTACTATTTTTTACTTTTCATGGTCATGTATCTCGATGTCAGATAATCAATCACAAGGGTTTTTCAACATTAAAACAACTTTTTTTCATGGATTTTTGAAGTGCATCCGTAGTTCTACATATAAAGTTACAACCTTATATAAATTTTTTCCTTTATTTTAGGAGAAAATTATGTCACATTTAACTTTTCTAGAAGTGGGGTGACTTATAGGTGCATATGATTCTCCTTGAAAGAGCACACATTCCGGGCAAGAAGCTTATGAATTTTTCAAAAAATATTTAATCGGTGATGAAGCAATTTACAAAAGAAAAGGTATACGTCATTTACTTTAAGGGAAAAGTTTCTATGCTTCTCCTACAGTATAGACGTTCTATCATCATCCTTCCATCTAGCCATCCAATTTTGATTAAGAGAGCCACTCACCGTTTGTTCTTAGATCCAACGTCTCAAAGTATTTTATTTTTAGTTTTTTTTATGTAATTTGTATGAAATGAAATTTGGTATGTGCCATTTTTTCATTGGGGCGCACCTATAAAAAATATTAAAAATAATTTTTCGATAAAATATAATGACCAAAATACCTTTTGAAGCTTTAAGGTGTATTTTGGTTATTTTATTTTATTAAAAATATTTTTCTTATATTTTTTTTGGGTACGAGTTAAATATAGGAATGGACGTCCAAAATTTGGTGTCAAAATAGTTTATAGAAAAAAAATTAAAAATAAAATAATGTAGAGACATGACATGACATTGTGATTGAAACAATCTTAACCCTCCATTCACAATGGACGGTTGGATAAAAGGGAGGATAGAACTTCTATACTATAGGAGAAATATAGAAAGTTTGCCCCACTTTTAATACTGGGTCAGAATGGCTCTTATTCATCAGATATCAAATCGGGTGGGTTTAAGGGTGTTCAAAATTCAAAAAAAATCTCAAACTTAGAAACACATCGTAAACCATCCAATTGGACAAATGGTGACGTATTTATAACAAAGATATACGGTCTCATGGTAAATAACATTTAAAAACTTTGAGATGAAAAAAATCTCTGTGAATATTTGATTTAACAATCGTTTTAGTAAATAGTTTATATTTCATTGTATTTTCTTTGTCCTGAACTATATCTTTTGGATTTTTTTTTTTTCTTTTTTTTTTTGAAATCTTGCTTTACAATCTTTTTTCTTTGTGAGGATAAAAAAAAAGATGTCACGCCATGCTTGGGGGCCAATAGTGATAAAAAAAAATGGTGATCTCGGTGATTCTTGATCCAAATTATATGACACCAGTTCTTTGTCTGAACATAAGCAGACGACTCACCCGTTATGGTCAGTCTCCTTATGCATTAAACGTCCATCTCTAAGACTTACATTAGAAAATGGTGCTTATTCTGAATGGCAAAATAGCTGGTAGAAAGAAAATTAAAAAAACATCATTTTTTGGATCCATATTAATATGGATTTTTTAGGGCGTGCACAAGAATAGGTGAGTCCACTCACTCACCAAGTACTATTTATTTGCAAAAGATTTCATGCTCCTATTGGAGCATATTTTGTTCATTTACTTCATCCAGTAAAACCCAATCTTGGAGTAATTTTGGTACTTAACCTCTTCAACTAATAGACTAACCTCAATAATAAAAAAAAAGTTTCCAAATTGCACTCTATGCAATGCTTAACCTCTTCAACAAATAGACAGTCCAATTTTTCGAGGTGAGATCTAAATATTACAAAATTAAACTTTTAATTTTTCTTTCTTTTAGTGAATCTTAGGTGGTTCGCAAAAAAGTGAAAAAATCCTAAGTAGATCGAGGAAGGGCCGAGAGTGGTGGATTCTTGAGAAAGAGAGCCAATTTCTTCTGAGGTACTAGAAACCTCATTCTCATCTCGTCCTTTGATTTGAAATTCTAGTATCCTGTTAGTCTTTGATTCAACTTTTAAAGTTTAGATTTTTGGTTATCTGATTTGGGATTGCTTTGTGATTTTATGGAATAGATAAAAGAGAGAAAGAAACGGGTTAGGGTTAGGGTTAGGGTTAGGGTTAGGGTTAGGGTTTCACCCCATTAATAATCCATTTATTCATTCGTACGTCCACTCTATACTCATCAACGCTCTATTTCCTTTCTTTATAAATAGTAATCCGCATGGTCACGTTCTGTTCACATGACCAATATGAATACTCCCCAATCAAGCAAAATATAAGATAAAAGCGCCTAACTGTGCCCCTCCACCTGCACAGTATATATTTATTCACTTTGGCAAACACCTCTTTAGAAGATTTTTTTTCCAATATGAAATTTGGAATCCACTTAATCACCAGATGAGTGGTTTTATAAACAATTGGAATTTAAGTTTCTAAACACTTGAATTTGACCATCCAAGATTTTTATTCAATTTTAAGACCTTTTTGAGGCACTAAACAATCAATTTAAGGTGCACCACAAAAGTTCACTAGAAGAAGTTGTTTCGATGCTAAGAACCCTCAATCTGATCATCTCGACCTCAAGATGTATGGATATGAGAAACAATAGATTTCAAGTATTGGAAATGGTACATCTCGTAGTGTATTATCTAGACTGTCAATTTCTAAGATTTTCAAGTGTTCATATATGTGTTTCATCGACACTATTTTTGAATCTTTAAATTTAATAATTAGATTTAAAAATAAATTTTTCGGTCGTTACAAAGATTTTCTATATGGAAACAACATGTTTTGGCAGTATTAGAAGGTGCGCCTTACTTTGACTGGTTAGAGCCTCAGCCTTATAGAAACCCCACACACGTGTTTCCATTCTTAACTTAGAAAAAGTATGCAATAAAAATATTATTTTACCATTATTTTACCTTACTCTTAGTCACAATTGCTTTTAGTTAGATGTAACATCCTTATTGAAGTCCAAAACATTTTCTAAAGAAAAAGGTTTGATAGGGCTGCAACCCTATCAAAATAAGTGACGCCTCACCTCATAAGTCATTAAAAATTGCAATTCAATCATTAAAAAAACCTTTTCATTGATCATCTCGGATTGAACATATTAGTTGTAAAAAAAAGCAAAAGATTTTAAGCTCTAAAAATTGTGTATATTGTAATAAATTATCTAGACAGTCCATCTCACCCTAAAATTAAACGTACAATTTTTTGAGATTCTAATTTTCATCAGTGTTGAAAATCGATTTAGAGCCATCATGAAGATTTCCATTGCCGAAAGTATTTTCGAGACGAAGAATTAAAGTGAGACTTTATTTTATTTTGATTTTACATCTTATGACGAAAAATGAATGTGACATTTCACGCCAAAATAAAAATATTACATCATGCAATCTCTTTAAATTAATAAGAAAGTTTCCATCAGGTCATGCAGAATAATGGCTTTGCAAGTTGGACACCATTGATCCATGTAGATGAATAAATTAGTTGCTTTGGAAGATGGTTATTATCTTGGATGAATAAATTAAGGCTAATGACCAGATTGCCCACCTTTGACAAATTTTGAACTAGTGATATTAGTATCGAACCGGTTACATAATTAGCGAGAGGTTTGTATCAAATTTTTGAAAAGAGAAAAGAAAAATGGATTTAAAAATTTAAAAATATAAAATATGTCTGAAAAAAAATTCTAACCATATTTGACGGGTTCAATTGGTTAAAATTAATCGGTTTGGTCGATCAAAACTAATCAAACATTAAAATTTAACAGATTTTCCACCAAAAAAAAATTCTACTTTGAATCAGGGGCCAAAACACTCGTCAGCAGTCCAATTGAAAAGACCACCGCTTAGGTATGATCTTCATAACTATGTTTCTACCCGAGGTGAAATTATTTATCTTTTATAAAAGGCAAGGGAATTTTATATTGGAACATTTTACACTCGTTAAGTACAAGCTTGCCACTAACGTAGTTAAGAAGCTCGAATATCATGCTCCCGAGGGAGAAAATAAAAACAAGGCATTTTTTAATCTTAAACTTTGGGATCTTTTTTACAAATCTCCAGATGAGTACTTTAAGGAAAATATATACAACTAAGGATTTAAGTACACTGGCATCAAGACATGGCCCTATAAGAAAATTAGACAAATTGTCCTCCTCCAAATTTTTTCATGCAATAGTCCGTCAGAAAATAGGGCGATCAGGATCGGTGAAATGGGAAGTTCTCACCCAATTTACCTTTTTCACTTTTAAAAATAAAAATAAAATAAAGAGAGTCACCGATCTAGATAAAAAATCACCCATCCAAATCGGCCCAATAACACGTTGGTTCACACCGCCAATCTACCTTTTAAAACACTAATATAAACAACCACAACGTAGATACATAATTAATACATGAGAAGATATGAATTAACACACCTTTGCATGAGTAAATAACAAACAAAAAGGGGGAGACTCTCCCAATTATTCGTATTACTGTCCCAATTATAGCATGGCGATAGTTCTCTGATATGAGATTTGAGAGACAATACAAGGGATTTGCTAGTTTCAGGCCTCCAAAAACTCAGCTTTTTAGGACCCAAGTTTTCCGGATCTCTATTGCACTATTCGCAATATTTCACCCTTTCTAATGACCAACACATCATCATCATAGCCTTTTTCCATACTGAACACCTATAATACTCGAATTCCCTTTCCCCGGTCACAAATCCGGCCAGCTAAGTCGGAAAACCCTATTATCATCACATAATATAGACATTTATTTATTTATTGACTGAAATTTCTAAACATGTTATAGGAAGTTCACTTGAATGTGAAATCTCAACTCTCACTCCTCTTAGGCTTGTCTGATGCCAAAAAAACCTGAAAAAACCAAAACAAAAGGGTCAAATTCACCAAGAAAGAAGAAAAAAAAAAACAGGTACCACCATAATCCATATGGATATGTGAGCCCCACCGATAACTAATCTTCCCGCTCCATTTTAAGGAAAGGACGGTAGATGCCACTTTAGAGTACCATCCATCCTAATCCATTGGATTATGGCATAACTTCCTTTAAAAGAATGCATAATAGAAAAAAGGTTGGCCATTTATTCACCGGATCTGCGGCTGGGATCCATTCGTTGGTCGCCGGATTTCCTCTACATGAGGCATGGCACTCATTTCCATTGGTTTCAGGAAGCAAGTTGAATGAATTGGTGCTCGATTTCTCCATTTTTATGAATCCAGTTCCAGTCTGTTGAGTTCAAAAAAGGGCAAAAAAAGAAAAAGGGTTTTAAATAAACAAATATATAGGCATTTTACTGATTCACTATGATACAGTGCTGCAAACAAAAACCATGTTACACATAACCACAACCGCCTTAAGTGACCATAGATTATCGAAGTTTACTGATTGAAACTTTATAGTTTATAAAAAAAAATCTTTATAGAAAAAATAATAAATAAAGGACAAATAATGAAAATGTAAAAACATCCTTAAAATATTTTCTCCTTGTACCGTAGGGTAATTGTCTTATTATATATTTTCTCAATTCTCATTTTTTGGGAATTTGACGCTATGTGGGGAGTTTGGAACTCCACATTCTCAGACTCCCTAGAGCGGAGCGCACTTGAGAATGACTAGTTCTCAAGATTGTCAGGCCCAACAATGTAGTTTGGTCTGTTGGGCCTAGTCCAAGAGGGGACCTTAGGGTGATCTGGCATCCAAGTATTGCCCATTTTAGCACCTGGGCCCACACGGGCTAGATGATGAGAAAACCCGAGATTGGGTTTAGTCCAGTCCAGACCAGACCAGACCTATCCAGGTCGGATGGAATTGGGTCTAGTCCAAGCAAGACCCATTCAAGTCAGATCAAGTACTCGAATACTCGACCTGACCCATTTAGGTCAGATCAAGTACTCGAATACTCGACCTGACCCATTGACAGAGGCTCTAAACAATCAAATTAGAGCTTACCTTCAAATGTACTTTTGACCCATTGACAGAGGCTCTAAACAATCAAATTAGAGCTTACCTTCAAATGTACTTTTGACCCATTGACAGAGGCTCTAAACAATCAAATTAGAGCTTACCTTCAAATGTACTTTTAATACAGGAAATCTTTGTAATAGCTTTAAAATATATTTTCATATTTATTTATAAAGTTTAAAGCTTCACTAATAGTCGATATCGACTGTTCTATGAAAACTTAAAAATTAACGGTTCAAAAATGTATTAAAAAATACACTATTTTCACAACTTGAAATCCATTTTCTTGATGTCGAGATGATCAATTTGAAAATATTTGGGCATCAAAACTTCGTAGTCTTCTAATGAAAGTTTTGAGATAAGCTCAAATTTGATTGTTTAGAGCCTTGGCTCTATATAAACTTTTCCCTAAGTAAAATGATAATGGTCGAAATTTCAGTGAATTTCTGCAAAAACAAGTGAAGTAGGAAGGAAAAAAAAAAGAAAATTCGTTTGCTCACAGACAGTGTGGTGTTGCTTGTCAACGCAGTTGAGGTCCTTGTAATACTCTGTTTCCACGTATTCCTCACCCGCCTCCTTCACATCGTACACCAATTTCTTCAACCACAAAAAATAAACAAATAATCAATTTACACTTCTCTCTCTCAACATTCTAACCAAACAAAGCATCAATTCTTTTAACTCTCTCTGATACATAAGTTCTTCAACCAAAACAAATTAAACAATAAAACAAAGTTGTGATTCGCATTGGCTGAGGCTCAAAACCTTCAAATAGCATTGAAAGAAAGGTACTTGAGAATCTATTGTATCTCTAATTATATAATTTAATACTTTAAAATAGTGTAGATCTAGCAAATATACGAATACTTATAAATCTTGAAAATTGATGGTTAAAAAAATGCATTAATTTGAAGACTTAAAACCCATTTTTTCTCACGGTCGTACATCTTGAATCTTGAGGTCAATATGACAACTTCTAGTGAATTCTTGATGGGCGCTTTAATTTGATTGGTTAGGGCCTTGCCCATATATAAATTTTTTTCATAAATCAATTTTCAATTCTATCACTAGGGCTGGTAGCGGTCCAGCAGGCCCAGCCCTGTACCCCCCCTGACGGTCAGGGCCGGCTCATGGCCCTTGCCCTATCCAGGTCAGGCTGGGGTAAAATAAAAGGAAACCATCGCAAAAGTTGAAAACATAAGGGCGGGATCGGCCGGGCCTGTCGGCCGGCCCTGGCCAAGGCTCTACGACGAATCGAACAGTGCCGGGTCGGGCACAGGGCGATCCAGACCTTTGGCCACTGTTCTCTCTCTTTCTCTACACCATTTTCTTCAACGAAAAGAGGTAAAAAATTTTGAGGTCACTCACTCCCTCCCTCAAATTCCAATTACCTGTTCATCATCAGTCTCCAAGAGCCTGAACCTTTCATGCTCAGCAATAACTTCGCTTTCACCTCCAATTCCAATCTGGTCCCTGTATTCACTTGAATACTCACTCCTCTGCGGCTTTGTGTGCCTCTTTGGAGCCATGTCCTCAAAATAATGTTTGATTTCTTCTTCCATCTTCAACTCTGCCTCTCTTGGCAGGTGCTCATCGCTTCTGCTTGGCCTAGCAGCCGCCATTGATTCACCCTCAAAAATCGATCAGGGGTATAATGGTAATTTGTGATCGACAGGGATGCAGCTCAGGCCCGAGAGGTTGGGGACGAAGGGGCTGAAATTCAGAACCCAAAATGGTAAAATATGGGATTTGAGAAGGGGTTGGATCTGAACAAGGGGTACTATGGTAATTTGCTGTTAGGGAGAAGATCAAGGGACAAAATGGGTATTTTGAGTAGTTGAGGTGGGAGGCCTTTTTGAATGAGTAATGGTGGGTTTATAATGGGTGTGGAAAAGGGGAAAAAATATCTTCGGATTGACAGTTGTCATCCTTATCTTTTGCAGTCCGAAAAAAAAAAATAAAATATCTGGACTGTATATATTTATGTTCCCACAGGAACATACAATGTATTTACTCCCTCCTTCAGTCTAAAATTTTTGGGCTACATAAAAATTATTTTAAAAAGAACAAAATTTAAATTTTGAGTTTCGGAATTGGCTCTTAAGAAATTGAACTGTCTGTATTCAATCTTGAGGTGTTAATTTTTTTTAGTACATAGAGAGTTTATTTTGTTTTTTTTTTTTTTTGGCTTAGATCATTTATGAGTTGTAGCGATTACATCCCAAAACGTGAGATTGAAAAAAGTGTCCTGTTTTGCCGGAGGGAGTAAATGGATAGCATATTCCCGTGAGAATAAAAACACTTTTGGTAATATCTTTTCCGAATGAAAATATCTTCGCGATGCGCTCCAACTAAAGTTCACCACATTTATAAATTTGCAACCTTATACTGTAGCATTGGTGTTATTTCAAAATTGCAAAACCTTCATAGTGATATCTTGACTTAAATATGCGTAGATGTAAAGTAAGAAAAGAATTTCAAAGTCTAAAAGTAGTGCATTTTATAATAAGTTATATAAATTGTATGTTTTCAAGATTTTGAAGTATTTATAGATCCGCTCCACATGTATTAGTTTTAATTTTAAAATTTATAATTAAATTTGAATATTGATTTTCGCACGTGAAATTATATCTTTTGAAAAAATTTCGAAGCGTACACTTTTTTTTTTTTTTGTGAATGGGCATGTCTATTAAGTTGTACCTAAATTTAACAACTGATTTAAACCACCTTACAAGGTCAAAAGAAAGGTCAGAAAGGGTAGTGATCTATTTAAAAAGGAAGTGTATAGACACAATAAGATCTCTCTCTATACACTTCCTTTCTAGATAGATCACTACCATATAGACCTTTCTTTTGACCTTGTGAGATGGCTTAAATTAGTTATTCAATTCACTCACCAAAAAAAAAAATTGGAATTTAAATTGTCGAGCTAACAACTTAGTAAAATACGAAACAAAAGAACTTACATAAATAATCTTGAAACTTGCAAATCCGAAACGACGGCATTTTGAGGGAAAAAAAAAATGACCTATTCATAAATTTAGAAAATTTTGGGACACTATTTAAATACTGCTAAAATAATATGAACATTACTTTCCTATGATTTTAATTATTGAATTAAATAAGTTGCTCTATTTACTATCACCTTTAACTTGAGATTGTTCAAAAAGATAAAATATTTGGATGGGAAATTTACAGAAAAAGTATTTTATTTTTAAAATAAAAAAGTAGTCCCATATATATTTCATATCTTATACAGACCCCTCGTTTCTAAAAGAATGAAGTGGATTTTAATTTTATTTTTTTTATATAAAAAAAAGTTCAAATTTGACATGTTCATATTTTTTGCCATCATGTATCTGTAAAAAAAATTAAAATAATTTGAAATAAATAAATTTACCAAAATATTTTTTAATATTATAGGGATATTTAAATAATTTATTATTTTTAAATTATTGTCTTTATAGATGTGTGATGGCGAGACTTATAAATATACAAAATTTGAGCTTGATCCAATAAATAGAAAATGAGATAAAATTGAAATACATTTTATACTCTAAAAAAAAAAAATGAGACTTGAGTATAAAATATAAAAAATATAAAGCTAATTTTAAATTTTAAAAATATATAATTTTTTTATTTGAAATAAAATTTTGCAATAAATGTGTGAAGTGCTTTTTCCCTCCACATTCCATTCGTTTGCGTCCCTTCCATGCCCCTTACGAGTTCCGACTCCCTGCATTCCCCTCCCGAAGAGCCTAAACCCTGCTATTTTTTATCTCCCCATCTCTCTAAATCCGATTGAATATATTTGATTTTGGGTAGCTAAGTGATAGGATTTAGCTTTTTCTTTACTCTCCTTTTTTTTATATATTTTTTTTCTGTGTTTTTTTCTTCTAGTAGATCAATAGGGAACAGAGGCCCCTACTCAAATTAAGGGGGAGGCCTAAGCAATCAAAATAAGGCACACATAAAAAATTCATTAGAAAATGTTCTTTTAATGTTGAAAAACCCGATTGTCTTAATCTAAAGATGTATGGATTTGACAAAAAAATAGCTCTTAAGTCGTGAAAATAGTGGATGTTATAATATATTATTTAGACTATTAATTTTTTAAGATTTTCAAGTGTCCATAGATGTGCTTGATCTACACTAATTTTGAATTTTATAATTGAGATGAAAATAAATTTTCAGGACATCATAAAGATTTATGATACTGAAACAACATATCTTGCCACTATTTGATTGTTTAGGGCTTCGGCCTTCTACAAACTTCACCCTTCTAAAAATAATTAGTGGTAATCGAATGCGTTGGTAAAAATGAAAAACGTGGATACCTCAATCCTACTCCCCCTTTTGTGTTCTTAAAAATGAAAAAGAAATGATCATATAGGAAGCTCCCCCCACCCATATGTATAGGATTTTAAAGGATCACCATTAAATTTGATACAGAGATATAGAAAAATCAAGTCATACATCCACGTAATAATTTTTTTAGATATCCGTGCTAACTTTAATGATAATTTTTTGAGATCCTACATACATAGGCGGGAGAAGGTCCTATAGGATCATTACTCAAAATAAAAATACGTGCTTTTTGTAGATATCATTTCAAGGAAAAACTTTAAGTAGTAGACGATCTAACGATTAATAAATGTAATTGCCGATGAAGAGAGTGGAGATCACCTCGTTCTGCATTGCTCATTTGCCAATAATATATTAGTGTTGGGTGTTAGAATTGATGGGGTTGTCGATGGTCTTTCCTGGTTCCCATGTTGACATATTGGATCAGTGGGATTGCGGGAGTTTAACTAAGGTGGGTAGGCGTAGAAATTTTATGGGACCTATGGAAGGAGAGGGATTTAAGTGTTTTCGGAGGAAGAGGGTTGCAGAAAAAATCACTCATAACATATGGAGTTGGCTATCGATAACAAAGGAGGGATTTGGGATATCTTAAGTTGATGTACCGGTTCATCCGAAGCTCTTTTGGAAATATGGGAGACGCTGGATTTCAAGGGATTCAAATGGTGCCATGATTTTATACTGTGTAGGACCTTGTGTGTGACAACGACGAACTGGACGGAGATGGAAGCTTTGTTACAAGGAATGCATATCCTTCTTCAGCGTTTCAGACTTTACCTTGTCTTGTCGAAGGTGATTACCTATGTGTTATTTGAGAAGCAACTGGATCGAGGTTATGGATATCGATAATCAATTGGAAGTTTCTTTCCAGGAAGGTTGCAGTTGAGTTAGCAAAAAAAAAAGGGGTTCAATTGGGTGAGTTATTGATTGCCGAAGATTTATTTATTTTTGAATATTTTTCATGTTTGTAATATTTCTGTTTGTTTAATGAAGTTATGGTATTATTGTCAAAATAAAAAATAACTTAAAAAAAAAAAACGAAAGGGTTAGGACTAGTGTTTAAAGAAAGAGTAATGATCTTACGAGACCCTCCCACACCCATGTGTGTAGGATCCCAAAAGATCACCATTAAATTTGACACATATTTCTAAAAAAATCAAGTACCACACCCATGTGATAACTTTTCTAAATATCTATATCAAATTTAATGATGATCATTTGGAGTCCTACACATATGTACGTGAGAGGGTCTCATAAGATCATTACTCTTAAAGAAACGGTAAAATCAGACTAGGACCGACTGGTACAGATTGAGAACCGATGGGGCTAGTTTCATTCCACCACAATATTGGGAACTAGTCGGTTCCATCAAACAATTGGTCCTACTTTTATTTTTTAATATTTTTTTCAAATCTTTTTGTTCTTTATTTTTTTTTTTTAATTTGTTTTTATTGACCAGCTCATAAGGCTGGACCTTCGATCCAAAACGTCAATCTTCCGATATGTACTGATTTTCCAGATGGGCGATTCAGGTCACCTATCTTTGGTTTTTGGACCTTGCTCATGACATTAAAGCAAGTATTTTAACAAACACAAACATATTTGGGATTCCTAACAATTAACAAGCAAATGCATTTATGTCATTTTGGCTCCATCGGCTTTAACATAGTTTCAAATTCTAAATCCAGATCAAAGTTAGTTTTATCATTTTTCTAACAAAAAGGGGGAGGTGATTTAGACTTGAACTAAAAACATTGTTAAAGTAACACTTCCAAAATGGTTATTGAACTTTTGATCACCCCAATGATTCTATGAGGTGATTGCAGTGGTATTTTTCAAGGTACTAAATTACTAATATTTGCGTAAATGCATTAATCAAATCAAAATTAGATGTAAAAATATCATTATAGCAAGCGTAAAACTTTGCCACATCTTTTTATGATAATGATGGAGTAAGCTTTTACAGTCCCGTGTCTATCTCCATATGCTTTGAATTCTCAAATCTCAACCCTTTCTAATATGGAAAAGTATTGCGTAAGTCAGCAGGCGCAAGAGCCTGCTAATCCACAAACGTCCATCATAAAGGTGGACTTTTAATAGGGTGTACCCTCCATATGTTCCATATATATGGTGCACCAAAAAATACTAAAATTATATATTTTGAATTTTAAAATTTTAATTTTTTTTTCATATTCATGATGAATCTAAAAAAAAAATTCATATCTAAGATGAATTTTAGTGGGGGACCGTATGTACTCGTATGAGTTGGTCGAGTAGCAGAACTAGAAACCCCATCCTCGTAATCTGTTGCGGCAAGAATCGCATTTCTACATTTGCAATCCCTCAGGTGTAAAGCATCCATCTTAAAAAGGGACGCAAATAGGCAGTCTATCTAAAAACAATTGAAGATAACATGTCCAAATTTTGTTTTAATTAAGATTATTATTTTTAACTTTTAAAATTTATTTATTTATTTATAGGGTGTGGTTTCTATAAGGTTGCAACCTTAAACAATCCAATTAAGGAGCACTTTCAAATTTGTCATAATATGTAATTTTAGTGAAAAAGATTCTTAAGATTATATCAAAATCTCTTTTTATATCTAATTATAAAATTTTAAACTTCAAAAATGGTTAAAATCAAGTAAATCTTTAAATATATGGATATAAATAATGTATTGCAAGATGCATTATTTTTTGAATTAATTTTTTTTCCTTTTCATATTCATACATATCGACGACATCGAAATCAATTAGAGGTTTTTCAAACATTAAAACAACCTTTTCCAATATAGTATGGAGGTGCATCTGTTATTCTACATTTAAGGTTGCAACGTTATATACATTTTTTTTTTTTTTATATTCATGATCTCCATGGTGGTAGAGATTACATGTCTTTAAAAATTAAGTAAAAAAAATCATCTCAAAAGTAGATTTTTAGCAGGCGACTCATTTCTGCATGAACTCATAGAAACTGGTTGTAACAAAAACTGGTTGAAAAACCTCAAATCCACACTTCATTTTGCACACCCATGTCGTAAAACCTCTTATGGCTCCTGCAATTTTTGCCTGTGGCTTCACCATATGTTACCTTACCCCCCATGTTATTTCAGTCTCTAAGCCCGAAGGACCTCATTGCCCAGAAACTGCATATTTGTGCCAATTCATGGCATCTGAAGCAAGTCCATGGCCACATGATCACCTCTGGAATCCACGAAAGCACCTGGCTTTTGGCCAAGGCCGTTGCTCTCCCTACCATGGATTCCGGCCACTATTTAAATCAGATTTTTGAGAGGATTTCTAGTCCTCCTATTTCGTCTTGGAACTCCATGATCAGAACTTCTGCAATGGACTCTAATGGCAAAGAAGCCCTTCTCATTTTTCGGCAAATGAAACGAACCAATGTTGAACCAGACAATTTAACATTCCCTGTTGTTGCCAAAGCCTGTGGCCTTCTCTGTAACCTATACAATGGGCTTCTCATTCATGCCCACGTATTAAAATCAAGGTTTTCTTCTGATATTTTTGTCCAGACAGCTTTGGTAGACATGTATGTGAAATGTCATGATCTTCATAGTGCTCGCCTACTGTTTGATAGAATGACTGAGAGAGATACTGTTTCATGGAACTCCATAATTGGAGCTTATTCTAAACTTGGTGGTTTGGCTGAAGCTTTTCTTCTGTTTCAGCAACTACAACTAGATGCTTACTGTAAACCCGATTCCATTACGATAGTGAGCCTATTGCAGTCGTGCACAATGGATGGAAATTTACAGGCCGGAAAATGTGTGCATTGTATGGGAATTAAGGCTGGGACCGTTTTGCCCATGCCTGCTTTCAACACCCTTATATCCATGTATGCGAGATGCAATGATATAGAGTCGGCTGAGCTTCTCTTTAATGGAATGCCTGAAAATGTTCGTGACGTCGTCACATGGAATTCTATGATAAGTGGGTTTTGTGAGCTTGGCAAGTTTTTAGAAGCTTTAATGGTTTTTAGGCAAATGGGTATGGCTGGCATGTACCCAGATCTTAGCACCATGCTGAGCTTGTTGTGTATCTGTTCTGGTTTAGGATTGCTCCCACTAGGGAAAGCCATCCATGGATTTGGATTAAAATCCTCTTTGGATTCAAATATTTCAGCCTGCAATTCCCTTATTGCTATGTACTCCAAGTGTAAGGATATTGGGTCAGCTCGTTTCTTATTTGATAATCTTCCCAAAAGGACAGTAGTTTCTTGGGGAGCTATAATTTCGGGTTATGCACAAAATGGGCTCTCGAGCGAGGCATTAGACTTGTTTCGAGCAATGGAGAGGCCTGATGAGGTGGCAGTGGTTGCTGCACTCTCAGCCTGTGGGAACTTGGGGGCTCTGGAGATTGGTAGAGAGATAAACAAATACATAGATTCATCAGGATTTTGCTCGAATACTATCGTTTGTAATGCACTCTTAGACATGTATGCAAAATGTGGAGACATGGTTGATGCTCACCGGCTCTTTGAGAAGATCCCAAAAACAAATGTGATCTCTTGGACCACTTTAATTTCCGGTTATGCTAATAATGGGGCTTGTGATGAGGCTCTTAGAGTTTTCTTCGACGTGTTAAAATCGGGTCTTAGGCCAAATCACATTTCCTTTCTAGCTGTTCTCTCAGCATGCACCCATGCAGGGCGGCTTGAAAAGGCCTTGGAGCTCTTTGGTTTCATGGCTATGGAGCATCGAATCGCACCCAAGCTGGAACACTATGCTTGTGTTACCGATCTTTTGGGGCGTAAGGGTTTGTTGAGGCAAGCCCTTGATTTAATTGAAAAGATGCCTATGGAACCTGATGTTGGTATTTGGGGTGCCTTACTTGGAGCTTGTCAAGTTCATGGCGATATTGAATTGGGTGAGTATGTAGCTGAGAGGCTCTTTAAGCTTGATCCATCGTCCGCTGTTTCTTATGTGGTTCTCGCCAATATATATGCAGCAGGTAGGCAGTGGGGAGATGTAGCCAAGGTAAGGGCGATGATGAAGAGTAGAGGTGCCAAGAAAGTTGCAGGCCAAAGCTTTGTTGAGTTGGCTGGTAAGGTCCATTCTTTCGCTGCCGAGGACCGTTGCCACCCTGAAGGGGTTGAGATTTATAAGGCAGTGAATAGTTTGACTTTGCAATTGAAGGATGCTGGGTTTGAGCAGGGGATGAGTTGGGTTATGTTGCATGAGATGGAGTAGGAGAAATTGGATGATATTCATCCAAGAGGAATTTCTACTACTTGAAGTTCTTTATTGTACCATATTCTTTGGAAGAAAAGAGACTTTTCTTGAGTGCAGGGTCTGAACTTTATAACATGGTTGGCAAGGCTAAGTATACCATGCATGATTTATGATTTTTGGTATGTGGAAGAGCATTCATTGTCAATTCCTGACGATAGCCATTGGGGATTAAAACCTCCAACCAGGTACAGTTAACTCCACCCTTCATCATTATGGACATATGGTGGAATCCATTTACTCTCAGGAATTGCATTTCTTATATCATAAATTATGCGTTATTTCTTTTGTTTGTATAAATATGTGGAGGGATTAACATAGATTCCTGTTTCTCACATTCATTTTGTTCATGGCACATTGATTCAGTGGGTTTTAAGGCTGCTCAATGTGTTTCTTTCCCTTGGTACATTATAGAATGCCATTCCAGGATGAACACTGCCTTGACACTGCCTTCATGCATATTCATTAATGCCCCTATTATTGTTGCTTTCGTTATTGTTGTATGGTTTCCCAAATCTGAAGGATTTTGTTCCTCTGCGCGTTGAAGCTAAGCAATCTGTTCTTTTTCAGAAGAAGGTATTGCAGCTGAAGTATTTGGGTTTCTACTTTTTTTACTATTAGTTGAAAAAAGGAAGAAAGAGAACAAGTGTGCATAATTTTATTCAATGATACAGCTAACTAAGGACTACTTTGCATTGCCTAATCGCCCTAACTCTTTATGCACAAATTCTACATTCATGATAAAGTGAAACTATATTCGCATACACAATTTCAAATAACGAAGATAATGGTTCGAATAGAAGAACTCTTGAGCATTTGGTGATCTCAGATGTGTCCATATCAATGGAACGGGTGACTCATTATTTCGATGAATCTTTCTTCGGACAGAAAAAGATTATGTAAACATTTACTCTAAATCTCACTCGTCAGATTCCATCGTGGAAGAATCGCCCGTAATTTTTTATGAGGAATTGACCATGCCTATCCCAGTTGTTCGATCATTTGATAACCAGAGTCATTCTTTGAGAAATGATCACTATGAGTCAGACTCCATAGAATTTGATCAATCTTTATTTGTAACACAATTGTCATATGCATTGTATACACCGAAAGGAATCCTTGAAAGTGTTTAGGAAAAAACCCATAGACTGTAGGAATGAAAAACACGAAAGAAGAAGCAAACACAAAAGAAAGAGACGATCAATCACAACGCAAAGATATACGTGGTTCGGCAACGTGTTTATGTCCACGGGAGGCTAGAGCTTCTTTACTGGCAATAGAGAATAGGGTTACAATAATATCTTTTCCTCACGCCTCTCTGTTTTTTATCTAATTACAAAGAGGTCTGCGTTTTTCCCTTAACCCTAAACTTTTTGGATGATCCCTCAATCGTTACGATATATATCGACTCCCAGATAGATGGTGCAAATTACCGAAATACTTTTGTACGGATATATATCAAGTCCCAGATATACCGTTCGGGCTTTTAACGGCTTTCCGGAATTGTTTTTTTTACTTCACCTTAACGGATATATTTTCTCAAAATACAAGACATTAATTCTCTACATAGACTTTATGCATGATAGTTTGGGCCGATACATCTGTTGACATTATGGTTTATGAAACATATAATTACACTTGATTCAAAATAATGATGCCTTTCATAGATAGAAGACTAGGACCTTAAATCTTAGAAAGTAACTTTTGGTATTAGGATTTATTAATCTGTAAAAATAAATAAATTTTTTAAAACTAGAAATGATATTTTTTAGAGAAAATATTTGAACTATTGATTTTACCTTTTCTTTGGAGGACTATTATTTATGGCTTAGATCTACACTTTCCTTAGAGGATGGTGTGGATCTCCAACCCTACGGAGTAACAGGTGCGGGCTTGGACGCACCAAACAATTATCCATGTACAATATTCGTATTTGGTCACTATTTTCTTGAGAATTGAGAGTGATAATCGAGTTAAAGGAACATGCCAATGGGCTATACTCGTTGCTAAAACTAATTGCACATTTAATTACAGGAGTACAGGTAGGGATGAGGGATGGCAACAGTCGGGTCGGGGCCAGACCCAAAAATATAGTATGGGACTCAGACCTAATTCAAAAATTAAAATATGTATTTAACTATATTTATATATGTTGGGACCAGAAAACTATTATCGGACCTAGACCTGCCGGATCCAATTTTTTGACCCATACCTAGACTTGGATCGGGTCTACCCCTTGGGTCCCAAGATGGGTTCGGGTCCATTGCCAACCCTGTACAAAATTACCTATAATGATCCGCACAAGAATGTCCCCAACTCCGAAAAATGGGAACTGGGGGGAATCCATAGATTCCATCGTTTCATCCTCCAGCAACTCCAGAAATATGGAAGGCGTTGTTTGTTGTGTCCCGAAGCTCTAAAACTTGGTACGTTTATTTTTGGCAAACTAAAGAGACAGAAAAGGCAACTGGCCCATAAAATAAGCAACAAACGCTAAAGGCAAAGCAGGAAAGAAATTGTGCAAAAAGAACACTAAGAACAAACACTAAAGGCAAAGCAGGAAAGAAATTGTGCAAAAAGAACACCAAGATTTTACATGATGCTCACATACGTGATTACATTGAGTGAAAATGATCAATAATTTTTACTAATCAATAAAAAAAATTTACAATTGCTACTTGAGAACACGACTCAATATCTCATAAAGTTTCTCTCTACATTTTATGTCTCTTCACCCAAGGTTTTCCTCCCTTATATTGTGTCTTTTTCCCTCTACAAAATAACCTAAATATAGAGGGAAAAAAAAGGACCTACACAAGGATCAAAAAATTCTCGCTTTTTTAAGATTCTTAGCATTATCCCTTCAAATATGGGTTTCCGGGTTGGCAATGAACCCGGACCCAACAACCTGACTTGGGTTGGAT